CCACAGTCTCCTTCATTCTCTGTTCACATATGTAATATAGTAGTAACTCCAATACAAGCTTTATTTTACGGTGTTTACTCGTTCCCCCACCAGAACTAGTTGTGACACAAGGTCATTTTAAAGTGGGGACCCGAGCGCGTACACTCGGGCAAGGGACAAAAATTCCTCACAGCCCCCGCAACCGATGCTTGCGCTGGCCTCGGTGCGAGCACCGATCCCTCCCTCTGGTGAAATGGGGGCGGTCTCGGGCAAAGCTTTATTTTACTAATTTAGCTTTAGCGCAGAAAAAAACATTTATTTAATTAAGATGGATGGTTACAAGCGAGAGGGGAGATAGGATGTGCTTGCCACAACATGCAAAACCTATTTTTGACCATATGCAAGAATTTATGCAAAAATGTAATGTCATTCCTGGATAAAAGTCTGTGTTCGAATCTCAAGCGAATGTTTATGAAGAACCCAAATCCTCTTTTTACAACATTTCCTGATTCGTTTGACATATTTCCGGCTGTTGGAGTGTAACATTTATTTTTTATACCAAATCTCTGTGCTTTGACGTGCTTTCAATTCAGTGATCTCTTTCAAACCTTCTCTTTTAAACGTTGTGTGTTGTTGGATTGCCATTTTAAAACCTTTTAAAAATCACCTGACCTGTGTGAATCTTGAACCTCGTCTGTATACACTGCATACACTGCACAAATGTTTTAAATGCCTTTGTTGCAGTGTTATTCTTTCGGAATTTAGTCACACAGTAGGCAACGGCGAATACATTGCTTTTTGATGTTATAAAATTTCATGGATTAAATTCTTAAATGCACTGTAAACGATACTCTGTCGGAAAGAAAAGATGATAAACCAATTCTAGACACAGTTTTCCAGCATACAACTTTGGATTTGCCTTTTGTTATGTAGTGTGCGAAAGGTTTTTCTACCTCCGTATGAATTCGAATCCCTCGTCGCCAAGTTGTTATGTAGTGGTTTCACAGTGCAGGCTTGTATTTGTACTAAGTCGGTCCTAAAATAGGTTCGACGTACAAAACGTTAGGAACTTGATATAATGTTATAATGACGCAGTAATCTAGTTGTGGTGGCTGATACTTTAATATCCGACTAACGGTCGTCCGACATTGACTGACTGACCAGCTCCTGACCGCTTATTACTCTTACTACTCCTACTTATTATAGGTGGGGGAGTCTATTAACTATAGAATAGGCGTGTTCCACTATAACACCTTTCCAAAATGACTTTCCGAAAACCACAATATTTCTAAAATTAGTTTCCAAAAACCACACTATTTCCAGTTTATTTTTACAACAAATCATTTTAATCAATACATGCCATCATCGGTGAGATAAGTTCAGAAAAAATTCTTAAACTTCAATAGCCAGTCGAATTTCCGTAGATTTTGAAAACACTTGTTTAACAGATGTCCAAATTTCTTGGATTTTCGAAAGATTAAAATCTAAATATATATATTTATACCTCTCTTTTTCTCTAGAGCCGGTGTTTGTTGTATTTCTCTCCCAACCCATATATATATATATATATATATATATGAAAGAGAGAGAGAGAAGAAGACCATCTTTTCAGTGTTGAACTGAGCGACCATGAGCCCATAGATGACTTTACAAACCAGCCTCGCCTCTGCATACCTTTTTACTCATATGTGACATACGAAAGGCATTTGGCGAGTCCCCTCGCGAACTTTCATGTGCCCCTTCAATACACTGCAGGAAGGACATTCACATAGTCTGCACCAGACTTTCAAGTTTCATGTGATCTATGATGACTAAGAAATCCGATATGAAATAGAAAAGCCTTCTTGCAGATGTTGCATACACACTCAGACTGAATATCTTATGGGATCGCGTCTACATCACCTTTCCTAAGAGCCCTTTTCAACTTCAAATGTTCAACCTTTTTGACCTAAAAACGATTTCAACCATCAAAAACTAACTCTTTCCAACCTGACCTATTTTCTGACTCCTTTTCCCAGCCTTTGAAACTAATTTCCAGATTTTTCAGGTTATATTTAACAACATTCTTGTGGAGTCTAGTAATAATACATTCATTACTTCATTATACAAAAATCACACAAGTGGAAACTCTTGCCACCTTAATTTTACTAGTCAATATCCACTAAGATATAAAATAGGCGTTATAAAAAATTCCCCATGAGAGTGAACGAGAATTCATCCTCTCATCTGCTTTTCTTTAAAGAACTTAACAACATGAAACAAACGCTAGTCAATAACGGTTTTCTGAATTATCTCATAGATCACCATATTAGACTTTTTCTTTCTAGGGTAACAAATAGCAAAACTGAAAATAGAGATAAAGATAATAACATTAACATTTTCTATAAAAATCAAATGCATGGTAATTATAAACAGGATGAATCTTCCCTTGCAAAAATTATAAAGAAATATACATCTCCAGTTGAGAAAATCAAGAAAATTAAATTTACTATTTACTATAAAAAAAAATTTAAAACTGCTAACAACAAAATCCAAATTACAGAGAACCAAAATTATTTACAAATTCACATGTCCATTAAAGAACTGTGTTCCTGACCAAACCAAATTCATAAAAATTATACTGGATATACTACAACATACCTAACAAGAAGACTCACGTTACATACCATAGATCAATTAGGTCTCGTTTAAATACACATGGAGACCTACCAAACTTTATCTGCAACATACTCGTTCATATTACAAATGTCATAGCCTTATCCACATGTATAAAAGGCTAAAAATAATGGAAGCTTTATTAATACAAAATAAAAAGCCAACACTCAATAACATCAACTATAAACACGGCCACAGTGTTCTGAACGTGTTTGGAAAATAAAAAATTTCTATAACTCTAGATACATACATAAAATATCCATGTATCCAGTTAAAAGTAAAAATAAAACCACCAGTTGGCTAAAAAAGTATAGCCGAAAGCGCTCGGACATACTGAACATTCGGATAATTTCTACATAATTTATTTCCAGAAAAGAAAATGTATGTATGTATAAAACAACTGCAAAATACGTGAAAATTACGAGAACTTTACGTGTTTTTTTCAGGTCAGCAGAACAACTAACAAAAAAAGCCCCCAATAAATAACTATAGATAAATTAAAACACGTTCAAGTGATCTGGTTAGTATGAATTAATGTTCGTTCGCTTGGAAAAAGTATAAATATATGATCTGATAATAAATTCAATAGATTTATAACACATTTGGCCCTGGTTAGAGTTTCCATGTAAAACTCTTGAGTCAAATAGCCAAATAAGTCACATGAACAATTCTTAATTTATTGAACACACACACACACACACACACTCACACACACACATATATATATTCATACATGTTTCATTAAATAATATAGACAAGTGTTGTCTATTTATTTTATGCAAATTCTTTTCATAACGTCTGTTATCATTAAACGAAGAAAGAAAATCACAATATTGATACATATTTTTAATCCAATCTAAGCTTTTGGCTTACATAAACCATTATCAAAGATGACAATTACTGTACAATATATTAAGCAATACACGGACAAGAATGTGATGATAGTCTATTTAAGTTTACATGGATTATTTCCAAGCAACGATAAACACGTGCATATAAGACGCTGGAAGCGAAAATCGCACCGCAGCTCATGACGTCACACATGACAACGCGAGAGTGAATTCGAGAAGTATTAAGTAAGGGAAGCCATTAGTATAAACCAATGGATTCTGTTACCAATTATAGACATTTAAGAATATTTGTGGAGATTTCGTAGTTTATAAGAATTTATGTATAACATTTTATTGTTTTCATGTTTAAGCATAATTGTGTTTTCGACAAGGATTTTATGGAATTGTGTATGCGGCCAGGCATGTTACATTACTCTTTCTAAGTCTCTCATCTGATCTGAAACCATTGGGACCAGTACAAAATTATATTAACAAGAATTAATTCTTGACATTATTAATGCTTTGCGCTGTTTGGGGAGCTTTTAACCAGTTTCTTAAGGGAAATAAAAGAAAAGTCATGCAAATAGAAACATTAGGCGGTTGCTTAAAACTGGTTAACGGTTTCATATGATTGATTGATTCGTTTTTTACGGCTTATCAACCCTTTTTCCGGTTATTTACTAATTAACTCATAGCTGGGGAGGAGAAAAGGTGGATTCATACAGATTCAGAATTTGATAAAAAAAAAACAAACAAAAAAAACAAGAAATTATAATGTGGACATAAAATGGGGAAACATGTTTATATTACATTCACTATATAAACGAATCCCTCACTTTGTGGCCACTGTAGTTTTTATACATCTATAATTTCAGAGAATCTAAATAAATCGAAAAAAAAAGCATACCTGTGTAGATAATCAGTATTGCTGAGGATATTATGGACCGAGCATGTGAGCGACGATGAGATCTTGGAGAGGATACAAACAAGGAGCATGTTTATGCTTAACAAAAGGAAGAGGCAGATGAAATTTCTGTGACACGTGATGAGAAAGAGTGCCTGGAGAATCTGATACTCACGAGGCGAATAGAGGGGAAAAGAGACAGGGGAAAGTAGCTCATGACATGGCGAGCTTGGGCAGGTGAATGGCGGAAGGTGGTCGGGGGGGGAGTTGGCAGAAACGCAAGACCTGTTGAGAGCCCCAAAGGACAGAGGGAAATTGAGGGCCATGATCACACACGTCCTGAAAGGAGACGGCACATAAAAAGAAAGAAGATTCGTTTTTTACTGCTTAACAAAGGTTATTTAAAGCCAGAAATTTTTTTTTAGATTTTAAGAATATTTTTTAGATAATACTGGCTTAGTGATACAGGACTACTAATTAACCCATAACTGGAGGGTGAAGACGTGGATTTACACTTTTCCCAAGGGAATTTGCGCGTAAGTGAGTATAACGAAACCTAACTGGAATTAGAACTTGGCTCTCCCATTAACGATTTTGAGCAATTATCTATTACACCCCTCGCACATCCAAGCTTTCAACACCTGGTGTTCCCAAGCGGTCACCCGTCTAGGTTCTGACTAGGCACGGCGTTGTTTAACTTCGGTGATCGTACGGGAACGTGTGCCTAGGCAGTTTCAAATTTCGGCCCTTGCCTTATTGTTTTCTCTCACACTTTTTGTCTTTTTCTCACTATATATATATATATATATATATATATATATATAACATGGGAAAAATATAAATCTATCTTTTTTGTGGGGTAAATAGCAGCGTTGACTGGATTCACTAGCCTTGGTTGGCAACAGTTCTAGAAGAGAGGCGAAAAAATCGCATTGAGGCATAAAACTGATTGTTTGATTGCTTTGTGATTCGTAAACGCTATACTTCCGATATTATATTACTTTTCCTATATAAATATATCAACTTTTAAATTATACGTACATATATATATATATATATATAATATATATATATTATATATAAAGTAGAGCAATACAAAAGTAGAGAAATAAATATTTATTATGCACTGTTACATTAGAACATGTAAATTTACCTTTTCTAATGTAATAGTGCATATATATATATATATATATATATATATATATATATATATATATATATATTTATTGTTTATACATTAATTTATACATACAAATATTTAAGTAAATGCTTTCTCTTTATAATAAACAGTCTTCACAACATTTACCGGCCTGAATGTCTGAGAATGTTGTTAATAATGTTTATTATAAATAGAGCATTTACTTAAATATTTGTATGTATGAAAATAACGTATAAACAATAAATATACGACTCAGAGTTTCATATCTTTACAATCGTCAGGTACAAACAGTTACGAGCTTTTCAATACGCTATTGAAAAGCTCATAACTATTAATATAACGAAATGATAACTATTCGAAATGCAAAATTCTTTTTTGCAATAAAAATGTAAAAAATAGAAGAGGAAATACACAAATAATAATTATTCGAAATACAAATATCATACTTATTATAAAACCAAGGTTATGTGTGTGTGTGTGTGTGTGTGTGTCTGTACGTTTATATATTGGATCGGATTTCCTACATTTTTCAACCGATTTCAACAAAACTTCACAGGACTACGTAAAATTACCTTGCGGTGGTTCTGACAGCGCCAAAAATTGGAAAACACATTTTTTTTTTTGCAAGAAATCAATTTGAAAACACGATTAAGAGGCATCACGAGAATGAAAGGGGGACAACTCCTATCGAGTTATACTTATAAAACCCAGGTTGTTTGTGTGTGTGTGTGTGTGTTCGTTTATATATGGGATCGGATTTCCTACATTTTTCAACCGATTTCAAATAAAACTTCACTTTTTTTGACAGGTAGTGTTTCTAATGTCTTGCACACTTTTTTTTTTTATTTTTACATTCAGAATGCTTTAAAATTCCATTTACAAGACAATTGTTTATAATAAAATTCTATTCAATCGGTAGACTCATAACGATTGAAAACAATGCTTTTGTTTGAGTTTGGGTTTGACCAATTCGTAAAAAACAAAACAAAAACTAATTAAGACATGCGTGTCCGTCAACCTTAAACAATAATCTTTGTCAATTTTATTTTTCAGTCTTCATGATGGGCGATACTTGACCTATCTCTTACTGTTACATCCCCGGGCAACGCCGAGCTCTACTGCTAGTCGTTAATAAAACGATTTAGTAAGAAAAAATCCTTATACCCTTAAGTTATATGATACTGCACACAAAGAGTCAATTACTGAAGAGTACTTGTTGAAGGATTTTCTCGGTATTTCACCTCAAGCAAGGCGGGAGTGCCAATAGAACGCAAGGAGTTACAGAGAGTGAAAGTAAGAGTAAAGAGGAGGGGTATTTGAGGAAAGGATAAGAAGGATGGGGATCAAGATCAAGGCATCAGAAGATGTCGATTGACATCACATTTGAATATTTGAAGATTATAGTTATCAGGGAAGCAAATAAGAGGAAGGGAGTTTCACTATCGAGAAGTGCGAGGGAAGAAGCTGTTGGAGTAGAAGAGGCGGTTACATTTTGTTTCGACAGTAAAATGGTGGGGCCAAGTTGCAAACCTAGTAGTACGCTTAAATTCATGCAGTTGGGGCACCAGTGAAAATAGCTCGTCAGAGCAGTTACCCTGAAAATATTTGTAGAATATTTGTTAGAAAGTTATTGGAGTCGAGATGCAAGGTCAAGACCTATCACATTGCACGCCACTATTTTTTTTTAAAGTTTTCCATTTATGTCGTCGTATTTTTTGGCGTTCTTTATATTTTCGCAACCTTCTCTTACTTTTGCAATATGAATTTCTTGCAAATCCTGTTCTTTTTCAAGAGCGTCTAAGAATTTTCATATTATGGGATGATGGGATGAAGCTGCAAAAAAGCCCTATGCAATTTTTCAAGGACGTTATTAGTTTAAGGTAAATCAGCATTGACTCTTTCAAACAAAACCACATACGTATTTCAAACATAGATATTTCGAATAATTATCATTTAGTATAATTGTCCTTTCAATTAATTTTCATTCAAACAATTTACAATTCGAATAAATATTTTTCGAATAATTTCTTTTCGAATAATTGTTTTCGAACAATTTTCTCGATACAGTACATATCATGGCGGGTTCTAGGGGTGAAGGCCAGGAAAGGTGAAACGAAGGAATATTGTTCGCGCGAACACCTGCCACAAAAATAGCGAAGAAGCTAGCAATGGAAGGGTAAAGATTGAAAAGCAGAAAAACAAGGAAGGGATTGAAAAGTGGAAAACAATTCATCACCAACAAGGCTACCCAAACGCTTTTGAACTCAGCCGAGGCTGGATAGTGATGTTTGAGCAACTCCAGCCCAATTTGTAGAAATTATTTCGAAAGCAAGACACCAGTACAATCGAATATGAACGCAGATAGGCAGTATCCAGAAATAAAATCTCTTTTTTTTTTTAATGTTCATATTGTAACATTGTTCGGCCGTCATATAATATTTCTGCCTTTTTGAACCATGATCTTTTATTGTTGTTTTTTCCTCAATAAAGTCATCGCAATTTTTTTCACTTTCAGTAGCACCCCCACTTTACGTCTTAGTGGCTTTATTACCTTGGAGTGAAATGATTAAAAAAAAAGAAATTGAAGGTCTCCACTTCGTGAAAGCATCGAACAATCAAACTACGAGTTTCAACTTCCAATAATTCAAATAGAAATTCTATCTTTTATGCATACACGTAATTCCTTCAACGACATTCAAAGCAAATTTGATGTTTTTCAATGTCAGTTCTCGCCTGAAAGATCTTTTTAGCTTATTTCCATTAGCCAATTGGATTTTTCCCTTATAAAAAAATAAACATTTTCCTTCTTTATCCAGGAAAGGAACATTTTAATAATCAAAAAAAAAAAAAAAAAAAAAATCCAAGAAAGCGAATTTTATATTTATTCACTGAACAACTGAAAAATCATACAATATTCGATGTTCAACCTTTCTGGAAATGTGCACTTTTTTTTTAATACAACGTTCAAGAGGGCGTTACTGAATGAAGTTGTTGATAGATAACTGTTGATCCTATACTTAAAGGTCTTAAGATTGTAGTAACGGCTCTTGGGAATCAGTAAAAGTTACACAATGATGTTTACAATGATGTTACTATGATTTTCACCCCGTACAAGGCCCAAGAGCCGCACAAGGTAGAGGGTTATAAAGTAAGTGTTGCCATTCCAAGCAGGTTGACAATACCACCAAGACGCAAGGGGATGAAAGAGAAGGAAAAAGTTTTAGAAATCAAATGCTAAACAGGAAAACAGGGATAACTCTCTACTCCTGTTCAAAAGACCGGGAAAGAGTGTGAAGAGGCGAATCTATCTACTCCGACTGAGAAAAAAATTAAATAAATAGTAAATAAATATTCAGAGTTTTAGGCGGAGACGTTAGATGTATAGAATTGGGCTCCTCGGCGTGGCGTAATGGTTAGCAAACTGGTTTTGCTAAAACTGTTACAAATGAATAGTGAGTTCGGTCCTCACTGGGTGCCCCATACTTTCGGCCATGTGCCACATCTAAGCCTCGCTTAGAAAATCAATAGATGTATAGAATTGAAGTAGACTTTAGAAGCAACCAGAAAAACAGTCCTAAACAGGAAACCAGGAATAAACATCTGGTCCTGTTCAAAAGACCAGGGTGGAGTGTGAATTGGACATAGGTGAGCCTATCTGCTCCTAGTGAGGGGAAAAATAGAAAAAAAAAAATGAATATATATTAAAAACAGAATTTAAGCGAAGACGTTAGAAGTATAGAATTGAAGTAGTCTATTAGATTAAATAAATCTAGCAATTGTATGAAAAATTGAGTTGACTATTTCGACTGAATAGTTAATTTTAAGAACAGTCATTTTCCGTGGTCACCCATTTAAAAATGAACAAACCCTTGTCGTCTTAACTAAGATCTACTTTTGGGGGCTCGAGATTAGTCGGTTTTTACCCCTATCTCTGTGCCAGACGGAAGAATTAGAACATTCTACATTTTTTTACACAGCTTGGACAGTAGAAAATAAGATATTAAGTAAAATAACAAAAAATCGGCAGAAATTTGACAAATTTTAAATTTAACTCTACATACCACACAAGAAAAACGATCAATAAGATTCGTTGGTTTAGTCATTGAGTTAACTATTTCAACTGAAAAGCTCATTTTCAAAGAACAGTTGTTTTCTTTGAAATACAAATTGAATGATAATGATTCGATCCTGTGTACATGGTAAGGTAGGTTCTAGCTGTAAATTGTGAAATTAAGGGACGAAGCACATTAGAATATTTTCAAGGAAAGTAGCTAGAGGCATGCGCTGTTTCGTTTGTGGCAAAGAGGCTGTAGGCTGGGAAATAATTCATCCCACACAAGGCCACGCTTTTGAACGCAGTCATGACTAAGAAGTGAGAATTGGACACCTCTAGCGACGACACTCTTCTGTGCCAATTTGATTTTTTCAGATCACAAAAACGACAACAGAGGTCAGTGTGATGGAAGAGCCATCTATGTAGATTAGAAATAAAAACACACGACTCCTGCTTGACTGAAAGGTTGGCAGTCACGCGCGTGTAAGCTGTCACTGTGAATTATTAGAAATC